TGTTCATTTCACATCACGCTATGCTGTTTACTCAGGTGTGTCGTTAAACCTATCCAAGCGACCTTTTCGAAACAATTCAAAAACCTACAAGCAAGTTAATGGAAAGTTTGTCCATCAGAATGACTGCAACCAAATAACTGTTTCATGATAAATCTTTCGGATTCTCCTGGTGATGCCAGTATCCGTTTTCTATTCTCATTAGAACCAATTTTAAAATAGGAAGGCTTTGTATTTACCTGTCGATTATAGTGTTCCCGCTTGCATTCCTAAGTTCCGGGAAACTGTCTTTCTGATTCGAAACCCGATACCTTATCTGGTTGCCAAATTGAAACAGTAAAATACAAACAGCGGTAACAAGAGATAATCCAAATCGTGAAGAGCATTTAGCTTTTACTTTGAATTTTCTGGAATTTCCATCAAATAACATGGCTAATGCGTCATTCCACTTATGCACTCTCATCTATAATGAAATTGTAAACTGTTTCATTTGGCCTTAATAACGTTTAAGAACAACCGGGGAAGGAACTTTTTGAGGTTGTGATAGTCAGTGCAATAAAGGACGCATTAGTGATGAGGTTCATCTGTAAGTTGAATTTAGGACCATAAAAGAGTGGAAGCCCACAAAACGAATTCATCTACTTATCAGATGATTAGACGGATGCTGCTTTCTATTCAGCAGCAGCTTCATTAAAGGTTGGAAAAGATCGATGATCGGCCTTCTTTGACTCATCAAAGACAGTCACCAAATGGGTTAGTGAACAAAAAGAAATTTGGTTTCGCTAGACTAGACACAAGTCTTACGTATGTCCAATAAGCAGAATTGTACAAGCGCTTCCCCCAGGACGAAGCTGAGATTACTTTAGAATTACACGCTTCTGTTACGGTTATCAGTCACACCGATTCAAAAGAAATCCGGCACTACGGAAGTCTACAAAGCAACAACTTGATTAAAGTATGTTTTGAAGGAAATGTGAAGTAAAATAAATTGAAATTTTCAGAGGATATGGAAGGAATACGTCTCGTCTGCTCCGCCTGAAACAATGCCATTCACACTGTCCGAGCCTTGGTTATATCGACATGTCTGATGTGACCGTAAAGACAACATTTATAATAAATTGTCGCCATAATTTTCAAAGAAAACCACCTTGTCAGAGACAGCATACATGAACCGCTGTCAATAGTACAACAATGCGTAAGCAAATACCTTGAGGTTTAAGGTAAAAATGAAACTTACCACGATTCACACCATTCCGTGCATTCGGTTTTTCTGATTCCTTTTCTTTATGGAGCACTTGCTTCACGCAACAACGTTCAAACTTCCGCATCGAACGCTTTGATTAACGGCGTCCATTATGATTTCAAGACATTTACTTAATACAATGAAATGAATCGAATCTAGTCAGTAATAATTTCTGATAAATAAATTCGAAAAATGTATTAAAAACTGCTGCATTAAAGCTCTCATTCTGTAGATCACTATAATTTTCAGTTCGTATTTAATTATTACCAGTACTTTGTGAATGGGCATTTTTCATGATAAGACCTGTCGCAAACGAAATGATTACTATCAGCACTGTTGATCCTGGCCAGAATCTATAGAAGTTGTGTTCAGATCATTCCAATTGAAACTGATAGTTGGATGGCAGAATGACGGCTGGAGGGTCCAACCACGTAACCGTCACACCCCAGGCAGCGACTCTACCGCTTGACTAACCGACTGTTGTGGGCCGTGTGCACAATGCTAATCTCAACTGATCCCCATACCCGTACCCCATTGGTCAAATTATCGTACTTTAGGTCTTACACATATATACTCCTGTATTGATTACATTAATTACTGGCAGAACGTTTCTTAC